ATGAAAGTAAAAATATCGATTCAATTTTAAACTTAAATAGTTTGTGAATTAAGGTATTTTCTGTTATATCACCAATGTTTTTCATAATAATAAAAAACCTCTTTAATCAACGGAGACTCAAAGTAAGAAATCAATAAATATAATATTTTTCCTGATTTGTTGTCTATACATTTCATTTTATACTTTCAGTACACAGACTAATAACATTATTTGCTTATACTTTTGTTGCTAAGCGACATGACATAAAAGCCATTGTTCGAACATAGTGTTACCAAAACGCACTGACTTTTCTATACATAAGTAGTTAATATAGCTCGAGGGTTCCTTAACTTTGCCAACTGGAGGACCCCCTTCAACTTCTTTACTGTATTGGCAGACCACCTCCCGTTAAAAATAGTTTTTATCACGTGTAACTGGTGTATCATATGCATATTTTAATACCTTTACGGATTGATTCTAGTTTTAAGAAAAGAACAATGAAAAACATAGTTAAATATGGAAAATAAAAAGATATTACGACTTACTTTAATGTGAAGGATGACACTGCCTTGCTGAAACAATCTTGCGAATTTCTGAGCCAATGTCTAACAGTTTCAAACGAAAATCCGGCTCACATTTATCTTATTTCTAAACTTCGATTTTATACAAGTAAGCTGAGAGAAACCTCGCTCACATAAATGTGTTGTAGGAAATGGCATTAAGTATTTTACTGCTTTGAAGTAATTGTGACACTAACGTACACACTGTAGTAATGCGTCAATCCAGCTGGAAATCAACAGTCTTGTCTTTTTTGCGATCGGCAGGCAACGGTGCCAGGCACACAACGAATTTATATAATTCAATTTATGTTAATTACAATTATTAATTTTGGGATTTATACATATTACAATATAAGTTTTATAATGTCTTAGCATTTTATTTTATTCGTTACTCTTTCACTAAATGGTAATTTCATAAATTTGATGCATTACTGCGGAACCCCAGAGGCCCCCCCCCCGAACCACATTTTGGGAACTTCTGATCTACCTGATTTTTACCAATAAATATTTTATGAATGCGCCACGAATTCATTTTATGAATTATCTTAATTTTGATTGGCTCACAAAGGAATTTACCGACGTTTGACTGCCTCTTTGTTGGTCAAGCTTGATTTCGAAATTTTTTATTTAATCCAGTTAGCTATGAAATGTCAGGTTAGGGTATACTAGGGGGTGATAGTATTTATCCCGTCCAGAAGTGCGACAATGTGACAGATTAATGGCAGGCAATACGGGAAACTAATTTGGCATGAAAATAGATATAAATCTGAAATTCACATAGTAGCCTACAATACTGTATGTATCACGTTTAATGAAAATTGTTGCCCTTCTAGGATATCCTACATCGCCAGTTTTGGGCAGAGTAGATTTTTCCACTACGTACTACAGTGTATGTTTTGTTTTGTTTTTGAATTTTGCGCAAAGCTACACGAGGGCTATCTGCGCTAGCCGTCCCTAATTTAGCAGTGTAAGACTAGAGGGAAGGCAGCTAGTCATCACCACCCACCGCCAACTCTTGGGCTACTCTTTTACCATGTGGGATTGATTGACCGTCACATTATAACGCCCCCACGGCTGAAAGGGCGAGCATGTTTGGTGGGACGGGGATTCGAACCCGCGACCCTCAGATTGCGAGTGCCTTAACCACCTGGCCACTACAGTGTATTATTCCGTTTTTATAAGCAATTCAACGAAAGAAAATTATAATTTCTTTTCAGGCACATTGTGCTTATATATTAAGAGTAAGAAAACACAAAATCCAATGTTTGTTTTTTGTTGTTTGGTAATAAAGACTTGACCTTTCATTGTGCCAAAAAACGTCGGATTTTGTGCTTTTTACCCTTAATATTGAAAGAAAATTAATTTACAAATACATACTTCTTTTCAAAAAGAGCCCATTCCGAGAATGTCTGCAATAATTTTACTACATAAAATTGCAAGCAAAGGACAACGAATATATATATATGACATTTCAAATATGTTAGCAAGACATTTTGTTGTTAAACATGTTAAATAATTTATGGAAAACTCATAAAGAATCAATATTTCCTCTAAAGAAATTTACATTTTACGCTTTCATAGCTTGTGTAAATATTTCAAAAGTTCTTATTAATGTAAATTTGCTTTAATTACATAATACGACAAAGGAAAAACCTTTGATCTCTTTACAACATTCCATAATAACAGTAAAAACGATGGTTTGTTTGTTGAATTACTACTCGAGGGCTATCTGCACATGCCGTACCTGATTTATAAGTGATTGACTAGAATTAAGGCAGGTAGTTAACAACAACACCCACCGCCAATTCATAAGTTCTTCTTTATCAACAAAACGTAGAATGACCGTGACATAATAACAACCCCACAACTGAAAGGGTTAGCACATTCGGCGATGGGTTTCAAACCTGCTACCCGCAGATTGCAAGTCTTGGGCCCTAACCACCAGGCCCAACGAGAAAAGCAAAAAAAATATGAACTATTGTGTTTCAGCTAATAATGTTTAAAAATCTGCTGTTTAGCAACCTGTGTTCGAAAAACAAAAATCACAATGTCTTTAGTTAATCACCAGAAACGTGTATTAGGTCATTCGCACAATGGTTTGTAACAGGGCACATATAGGACTGTTAATATTTTTAGCTTTCAAACTTACTTTTACGTGGGGTTAATTTTGTTTAAGAGAAAACATTTCAAAGTTACACGATTCTTTCATTCCAAACGAAGCCAAAATACAATGAATTTTAAGTAAGTATAATAGATATAGTTCGATTGGATACTGTTATACACTCTTATTCTCCACCCCTCCAAAAAACAAACAAACTAAGGGACCGAATAAAGAATGCAGTGTTTCAAAATATAGTAAGCCTAGAATTACTGGCTTGTGGCAAGTGTGACTGATTAAAGTCACGCTTCGCCAGCAAAAGGCATTCACACCATATCAAGTTATTCTATTACATGTCTTATATAAACAGCTTTCCGACTACCACCACGTTTGTTTCCCAGCTAGCCTGGTGAGCTCTGGCACTGGCCGAAACGCTTCGTCAGCAATGGATGTGGCACCCATGACGTCGTTGAAAAATTATTATGCATTCCTTTCCTGGGGAAAAAAAATCCTAAGAGACCGAAAAAAAAGAATGTAGTTTAAAAAATGCTATAAGCCGAATAGTATCATTTTGAAACAACTTGTTATAATCATACTTCGTCAGCAAGAAAAACATTCACAACCATAACAAGTTTTATAATCTTTACAAACCTGTCTAATCACTCTGAGGTGATTATGGCATATACAGCACTGAATGAGGTGTCGTTACTTAAAAAAAAAATTAACAACGATTCGACACCTTCATAACTGTGATAATCCCACCACTGACCATGCTCGCCCTTTCAGCCCTGGTAGTATTATAATGTGACTATTAATTCCACTATTCGTTCGTATAGAGTGAGCCAAGAGTTGACGGTGGATGGCATAGCTTTTCCTTAGAATATTTTTCACCTGCACAATTATATTTTAACGTCATTATTTTTTAATACATGATGCTTTATTACACCTCATATATACAGGCCTAGTAGCAACTGATCGACAAAATGAAGAATATTCTAGTAAATACGTTTAGTTACATGAACTCTGGAATGGAGAAAATTTTCTCAGTCAAAAAATCATTTGCTGTAAGACAGTGAGAAACATTTTTCATTTGGTGAATTTCGTAGTGTATCAGTTATCAAGTTTTGCTGTTTCTTGCAGTAGTTTGAGCAAGTATGAAATTTTTTTCTGAAATAGCTTTTTTTTAGTTTTTTGATAGCAATTATGTTCTAATAAACCATGAATAACATTACTATTATCTGTTATTTCTTATTTTCAGGCGTTTTGAATCAACTGTGAATATGATGCCAAGAGTCAAACGAAACATGAAAATCAGAAGAAGAAACAAAATTCCAAGAATAAATACAGTGTTACTGTTTTTTAGTTGTAGAAGGTTTATGAGGAAAGACCACAACATAATGAACTAATTCATCACAATAACTTAAAACTCTGACTTCAATTTTTTGAAAAATGAAATGGTCTTACCTTTTACTCCCGATCAACAATCAAGTATCTTTTCTTGGATTATAAATAACACGAATGGATTGAAATATTTAATTAAATTATCTCAAAATAAGCCTTCATTTCGGTGCAATATTGAAATTAGCTTCAATTCTTCATAACCTCTGAATAGTGGGTGACCCAACGGGTCACGGGTGGTCTAGTACTAATTATTAACGTTATGGCATTTTCTGTTGTTCTGCGTATGTAGCACAAGTTGAAATACTGTAGACATTCTATAGCTAAACGACTTTTGGCTATGGGCAAAATATTTTTTTTAATTCCCTGAAGGAATTACAATATTTATCATCAGCAAAACATCTAACTGACAACGCACCTGTACATGAACAAGATAAGTCTATGAACATGATTTATTTTACACTAATAGCTGCTGGTTAGGCCTAAAACTGCGGTGAATAAATATGAATTTTCCATTTCAGGCTAAAGGTGGTTTAGCAGAGATGTGACAAAATTATGTCTGTGTTTGTGTTAACACTATAGGTTCATCCCATTGTTTATGCAAAGTTTAAATTTCCATAAGTCAGCTGATCTTTTGTGATTTAGTTTCTGATACAGATTAAAATATTGTACACTTTATTAAAAAAAATAACTTAATTCCAGAGAAAGGTCTATACATTCTTTACTACAACTTAGGTTTACGAGTCATTTGTCAGTAATATCTTTGTAATAACAGTTTTTGAAGTTCTTGATCAAAAAGTACGTGATAACCTGTTAATACTTCAGTTTGTTATGATGAAGAAAAACAAGTGCCTTACATAAGTAATAGCTGATAAATAAGACAGCAATTTTAGATAACTGTTCCCTTCCCGTGCTAATAGTAAATCACAGTAGTAAATGACAGTGTAGTGGCTCAAGAAAAATTTTCTTGAACTTTCTTAAATACATGAAAAATGACCAATGTTATTTTTTTTAAAACTTATAGAACTCGGAAGCCACATCATGAAAATGTATAACGTTTAGACCAATTAGATCTACAATGAAAACCGTGAAAGACAGTACTAGGCCTTTTAATGTTTCAGGAACAAATGTTTAGATACACAATGACATAATTGTACAGAAGACCTTCCCATTGTCACATTTTGGTGTATAAAGTGTTAACAACGTTGTTTTCAATAGCTGAACTGTGAACACGTTTCTAAAACAGACAACTGCTCAACTTTATGAAACTTGTTTTTTCAACCAATAATTTCCTAATACACACTGTGGGAAGTTTCTGATACTTTGTTTTAAAGACTTTGCACGTCCATACAAGCCCTAACTGACTAAACAAAGAACTCTTTTTCTCACTAATTTTAATAAATATTAAATCACACTTGTTGTTTTTTACCAAGATTTCACTTACATAAAAAACCCAGACATCAAATTACTGTACAACTATCACATTTTAAATATAAATCACACCTGAATATTACAACCAACACCAATTAAATATTCGGCTGCAACCACAGGAAAGCCAACATGTAACTGTACAGTTCAAAAATACAGGCCTCAACTTCATTCTCCAAGTTGTCAAACACTATACACAAATATTTTACAAACTTATCTTTCCAACATTTAAAGATGAAACTTACTTTGTAAAAATATATATTCTAGTAGTATAAATAACAGTATCGTTTCTTCTTCTTAATAAACAATAAAAAACGTTATCATTAACTTATCAACACTAGTTTGAACTCAGTATATAACGTTTTCAGGACTGGTTTCAAGTCTCAATATTCCAGTTTAACAGGATATCGGAAACTTGAAACAAAGAACTAACTGCATATTGAGTAAAGAAGGTGAAGTAGGTCATACTGTACAAAAAGAGAACGCTATAAAACATTTCAAAGATGACTGTAATGATATTTAAAAAGTTATACGATACTAACTATTTGTGACCAACAGATATTTAAGTGTTACACATACACCGTTTGCTATATTTGTAACATGATGTAAGTTATGATATCTCATTGTAAAACCTTTCCATAGCTATATTTGTAACATGATGTAAGTTATATCTCATTGTAAAACCTTTCCATAGCTATATTTGTAACATGATGTAAGTTATATCTCATTGTAAAACCTTTTCATTGAAAGAAACTGAATGTAAGTTGCCATATTAAATTATTACTTTTAAATTAATATAAATATAGAAAAGAAAACTTTGCTAATGAATATGATTAACAGGAACATCAACGAAGACACAATAAGGAGTACATATTTACACCTTTCTGAAATCAGTTTCATTTCTCAAAACACAATCTATTTTTTGTTATATATATATAACTAAATAACTCCATTTCTTTGTATATATGAAATCATGTAGTGGCTATCACATACTAGATAAACCAGTTTCTTTATCCTTGACCATTCAATTAATTAAGGTACACTCACTCCTTTGTATGTGTATTTGATAAACACTTCCTATAAAAGAAAAAGATACGCATAACTAAATAATAGTTTACAAGTGAGTGTCTGGGCAACTTAATAGTTTACAAGCGAGTGTCTGGGCAACTTAATAGTTTACAAGCGAGTGTCTGGGCAACTTAATAGTTTACAAGCGAGTGTCTGGGCAACTTAATAGTTTACAAGCGAGTGTCT